GTAAAATTAACACCTTTCCTGATGGGGCTTTTGCAAGGTGCCCACCAGGATCACTGAACCAATGTGGCCCCCACATTGTGCTTATCTGTGAGCTGACAAGGGGTGGGTGAAGCTACTCTAGTGAGATGTTAAGATACCACATTTTGTGGCTTCTCAAAAACACGTTACCTTCTGTAATCCAGAAGAGTTGGGAAAAGAAGAAACATTAAGAAAGGTTACTGAGAGAACAAAACCCCACTTCTCCAGAAACTAAAGACCTGCAATTGCCATTGTTTTATTTTCCCTGATGAACGATACCTTTTTGCCAGCACCAACGTTGGCCTTTGCAGTCCCCCTGACTTTCTTCATTCTGTTCTTACGTTCCTTCCGTTGTTTTCTTGAGGTCTTTTTCTTCTCATACAGTCCATGCTGAAGTAGAGAGTACATACAGGTGACATGCCAACACCAACTCATCAACCACTCATCTGGTAGGGAAGCTAACCAAGTCACAGCTCAAGAAATGCAGACTGCCAAATCAAAACTTACCAACTCCATTTAATGTTTGTGCTATAACAGGAAAGGTCATTAAAGAAACAGTATATACACAGTAATTGCAAGGAAACAAATGTTCACCCAACGCTCCAATCTAATCTCCTCTCTGTCCACTTCTGCACTTGTTCCTGCTGCCTAGAACACTGCTTCCAAACCTTTACATCAATCTCAATTTCAATGTCACTCCTCAGCAAGACCTCCCAAACCACCCAGCTAGAAGACATGCTTATCTATCCACATCACCATAATCTCCCTCCATTAGTCTATGGGAAGATTTATCCAACAGCAGAAAGCAAAGAGTTAACAAGGACACAAGTACCTAAAAGTAATCTGTGCACTAGTTTACTATCTGTGATGGAAGCCAGGAGTTTTGACCAGTCCATTGTTATACAGTTCATTAGTGCTCAGAAAATCATCCTTTCATGGGTCCTACCCACCTACAAAATCAACTCAGACCTTTAGTTTTAAGGATCTCAGTCTTATGCCCATCTACCCTTCCCAAATTCATCCCCCTGCTTCCAGCTTCTATCTCCACAGGTACTTTACCTGCCCTTCTAGACCCAGCTCAAATGTCACGTGCTCCAGATCCCATTTCTAAACTCCCCCACTCTACCTGCACATCTATTAAAGAACCTCTCCTCTTAGCCCCCTCCAAGTTCTTTAGGTCTGTATGTTGTCTCTACCTAGACTGCTGCCTCTCATTCCACTGCACCCACAAAACTATTCAAAAACTCAATCTTCAGCAGCTCTTGAACAAATGAGAGCACCTACTCTTGCAAGTCTATGTTTGGGTTCATTTTTCTTTGCATAATCCAAAGAATCATAAATCATGCCAAAGCCAGTTGTCTTGCCACCACCAAAATGGGTTCTGAATCCAAATACAAAGATGACATCTGGTGTGGTCTTGTACATTTTGGCTAGTTTTTCCCGAATTTCTGTCTTAGGGACGGTTGCCTTCCCAGGGTGAAGGACATCAATGACCTAAAAAGAGGTAACAAGATTAATGTAATAATAAAATACATCTTTAAAAGTGAAGAACAATTAATTAAACTGATGTGCCCTTCCTTACCATCTGTTTCCGCTGCAGTAGTCGATTGGTCATGAACTTCCTGGTCCGGATAGTTACTGTGTCGTTCTGAAAACATGACACACTAGTTAAATTAGGTGTTCTTGACCTTGCCGTGATTTTCCAACATCTAGAACTGCACTGTTCACATTGGTGCCACCAGCCATGTGAATAATAATTTTAATTAGCATTTAAGATGCAATTCCTCAGCTGCAGGAACTACGTTTTAAATGTACAAGTGCCTTTTAGGCTAGTGGCAGGAAAATTTCAATGAACAGAAAGAAGGTACCAATTCCCATCTCCTCCAAACCCACTTAGCACAGTGCCTAACTCACAGGACACAACTCACACATAAGCTCAGTACCAAGAAAATGCACTCAACAGCTAAAGCTAAGTCTTACTTCGCTTTGCTATGTAACTCTGTGGCAGGATTTCTCAACCTCAGCACTACTAATTTCTTATTGTGGAAAATGTCCTGAGCATTTTAGGACGTTTAGCATCAACCTTGACCTCTGATCATCAGGTGCTAGTAGCATACCTACTCCCTAGTTGTGATCAAAAATGTCTCCTTTGCAGACTGTCCCCTTGGAGGCAAAAATACGCCAGTAAAGAACCACTTCTCCATGGTAAAATTACCATGACTTACACAAATGTTACAGTTTCAACCGTGTTTATAGCATATTGCCACAAACGCTGCAGTGCCTGCATGTAACTACCTGTACAACTCTACAGACCATAAGAAAACCGTATTTTCTTCTGAATGGCCAAGAGTTCTATTACACGATGAGTAACTAAGGAACGCGGGCATTCAGCATGCTTACGCTGACTGAAAGAGGGGAGACTTTCATGGCAGCGATATACTGCTAAATTTCAATCTGAAAACACACTCCAAAATAAGTGACTTTAACAGTAATCAATTCTTGAAACGCCCAGGGGAAAAATGACTTGCAAGTTAGAAAAAGGGGGCTGAACCTTACAGACTTAGGGCAAGATTTTTGGAGGCTTTTCTTCCCGGGGCGTCAGTTTCTCCAAAGTGAAACAAAAGGATCCATTCGGCTAACAATATTCTCGCTTACACATGAGAGAGCTTTCACTCGCCGCAACTCGCCCAGGCGCTGCCAGTACCCTCTTCACCTCTTGGGCTGCCATCACCTGCACGCCGCCTAACCCAACCTGGGACTACAGGTATTTCACCCCACCCGACCCAATCCACTGGACTCCACGAAGCAGACAAACGCAGCAGCCGCTGCCGCTGTCCCCAGGCCCTGGACTCTGAAGCCAGGCGTCGGGGTGGGCAGCGCAGTCCGGACTCCCGCAGGCAGCTCCAGGGCCCTAGTTACCCTACTTCCGTCAGACACGGCTAGGTAAGAGCAACAGGAGTTCGGGCGGCTGTAGCGCAGACGACGGAACCGCGGGACGAAGGATGGCTTGGATATATGACGGATGACTGAATGGGTACGGGGAGACTCACCATGATGGCGGCGAACCTTCAAGTAGCAGGGAGAAAAAGAAGGACCCTCCTCGCCGACCAATCATATCAATGCACAAAGAAGGACCCCGGACGGCGCCAACGTAGGGGCGTGGCCTGGACTGGGAGGCCGACTGAGCCAATGCCTGACTGAATGTGTCAGGCCCCGCCTCATGGAGCTTTGACCACACCCCCGGAGTTCTGGACTGCCCACTCCGGAGGCGGAATTTCTTGGGCAGTGTAGGTTTATGCAAGCTTGCGTTCAATTTCAGTTCAATTCATTACTTTGAATTGTCCGTGCGTAAAATTCCGGAAAACCTAATTATAATTTTTATGATCTTCCGAGTTAGAGCTTGTTAAAGCTGAAAGGCGTCTTAGGAGATCCTCGCTACCAGCCTCCTTTTACAGAACTGCAGAAACCCTGACTCAAAATCTTTGTTAGTTCAAGTCCACAAAACTGACCATTTTTTTTATTTATTGCTAAGTGTTATTTTTTCTGAGATTCTCTGGTGATTGTCTGATTAAAAATAAAACGCTCTTGAATTTGTGCAAATCTGAGTCCGTACAAAACTGAGCTTTTAGTGACTATTTGATTGATCTAGAAATGTTAGTTGTTTAAAGTGAAACTGACATATAAAGATAAAGAACTGACATATAAAGATAAAGAGAAGCATGCATGTTGAATGACAGATTTTAGGAAAGAACTTCCCAAAAGTTACAATGGGCCAGGAGACCAGGGTGCAGGCTTTAAGGGCAACTTTCTTAAGAGTAAGAATAATTCTTATTCATAGAGTGACTGTCATGTGTTTATTACATTCTAATTACAGTATTTTACCTTCATTTTCCCACCAACTCTAAGAAATGTGGCACCTATTACCTCTTTTATAGATGGGGAAATTAAGATACAATGAAGTTAAGTAATTTTCTCAACTCCACGACTTTTGAGTGGTGGTCCCTAGACTTCCATGGAGGCACTGTGATTCCAGAACCTTTGTTCTTAACCTTTAGATAATAAGTCATTCATCAAATCTTGTTGGTATAGTATTGTCAGCATTACTCCAAAGATATATTAAGTGATTAACTGCTGAAATAAGTTAGTGAAATACGATATGCTTTGCTTTTTGTCTGTGACATTTGTGTTTTGCTCTGGTGGCATCCATGGAAAATGAGATAGCATCTCTTCTTAAAATTCAAAGATGTTGAACCAGTTTATTGGGTTCTGTTTAGTTTCCTACAAATAGTAAAGAAGTAAGTTTCAGGCTTTATAGTACAGAGTCCTATAGTGGTGTGGTTTCCTTGCTAGTCTCATGCACTAAGACGTCACACTAAGATCAAGTAACAGATTGTCACAGATTATCAGCAACCAGTTTGTTTCCTTGATAGATGAACAATCGCTCCCTATTCTCCCCTCTTGTTTGCGTCGCTCACCGTGGCTCACTTTTCACTCTAAACTGACAGTTTCTGCTTTTGTTTTTGCAATCAGGAATATAAATTTAATTCTCGTCTTTTTCAAAGTAACTGAACTGGAAATGCATGCGCTCCCGTGTTTTCTGCCCTGTCCGTTTCCTTTGTGGGTGGTCCAGATGGTGCCCTCTGTTCCTTGTGCGGATTCATTTTAATCCTCTGCTTTTCATTAGATAATCATTAATAATAAATAATTGTTATTAATTATTAATAATTGATGTTAATAATGACGATTTTTCCATCTTATGCAATTGTTGGCTTTCTGGTTGTCTAAAAGTCCCGAGGCAAGAGGTGGTAGTTTCCCAGCTGGTGTCAGATGACCTGAGAAATGGACGGGAAATGGGACTTTAATAATACAACGCAGGCCTTTGCACACTTTCGAGGAGGTGCCACTAGATGGCAGTGTAGGGAGAAGGCAAAAAGCGACGTACCTGATGCCTCTCTTGACAGACAGACGCGCCGGCAAGTAGCGGAAGACGAAGAGGCCACATGGGGTGCTCTACGGTGGCCGAGAGGACGCTGCTGGTATGCTAACGAGTCAAGAAGCACCCCTGAGAGGTGTGGGAAGTAGCTCTCAAATCCAACTCCCCGAGTCTCGAGGAACGTGACCGACAACCGTCACCATGGTGAAGGAGCAGTTCCGAGAGACGGATGTGGCTAAGAAAATGTAAGATGGAACAATGGCCAAAGGGTGGAAAAATGAGAGGTCTGAGGTCGGGGTCCCAGGTCTCGAAGGGTCAGAGGTGAGGGTCATGTGGAAGGGGAGGTCAGGAATCAGCGGAAGGATTGGGCAGAGCTCACAAGTATTAGGATAGGTTAAAGAATATTGATCAGACGAAGGGCATTTCACTACCTCGAGGACTGTAGGCTGGGGGTAGTCCCTGGATTTGGGCGGAAAAGGCGGCATGTGGCGTGAGCCTTGGGCGGAAACTCGAGTTCTCCCGAAGTCACACAATGACCCCTTACTTTCAGCGAATCTTGTAACCACTGCAGCGTGGGGAGGAATCTTGGGCGGGGCTGTGTCTAATTCTGGTTTTGCTGCAGAGCACTTAGCAGAGAGGCAACATTAGCCGACTAAAAGGGTGGAGTTGCTAGCTAGAAAGTTGCACCACAGGTAGATGGATAGCAGTCTCAGAAATGAGGCTGCTGTTCTGGGTTTTCTCCTAAAGATCTTGTTTATAGGCCATGGCTCTCCTTAGTGCTTAGAATGGAAAAACAAATCAGTTGTTCTTGCAGCAGACAATTGCTGAGAAAGGTACTGTGTGCTACGGCAGTGATAGGTATTAAAGATACAACATGAGTAAGGCTTTACTGCCAATCAAGTTGGAGAAGGTAGACAAGTCAACGTTGGGTAAGCCAATTAACCTAATGGGAAAGGGGTTCAGGCAGAAGAAAGCAGACCAGACAGCCTTCTTTAAGGAGCGTACTACAGAGAGAAAGGGTGGGTAATGAGAAGGAAGCAGCAAATTTGAATCTGTCTTCCAGAGTCATCTTGCAGGCAGTGAGGAACTTTTGAAGAGATTTAAGCAGAGTACCTTGATAGTATTCTCTTGAAAGATCTCTCGATTCTCTGGAGACAGAATAAGAGGGGAACCTTGGAGGCTACTGCAAGGATCCAGGCAGGGGATGATGATGGCCTGCTTAGGGTGGGAGAGTCATCTGAGGGAAATGGATTTCAGAGGGTTTTAGTGTGTAAAATTGACAGGATTGGTCAGCCCTTCAGAACAGTACCTGGCACCTTCCCAGTTTCTTGGGAAAATGAACAAAGGAACAGATTTGGGAGAGAAAGTATTGGGTTCAGTTTTAGATGTGTCAAATTTGAGGCGCCTGTGGAATATCCAAGTGTAGCTGTTCATAGAAAGGTATATATATGATCTGAGTGAGTAGCTGGCCTACAGATAGAGATTAGACAGATGACAACATATACTTGAGTGACATAGTCACTCAGGAGGAATGTATAGAATAAAAAGAAAATAATGAGGATTGTAACCCTAGGTAGGGAGAGATGCCAGTATTTAAGGGGTGACAGTAAAAGACACCACAAGAAATTTAAGAAAGAACAGCCAGAGAGTGGAAGAAAACGCAGAGTATATGGTGTCACCAAAGCCATGCAACGAAAGTATTTCAGGATTGGGAGGGGAAGATACCTGCCAGTTCTGCAGAGTGAGAAAATGAGGATGTTCTCATTAGATTTAGCAGAAAGCAGGTAACCTGGGTGCCCTTGGTGACACCATTTCTTTGATACAGTGGAAATGGTTCCAGCAGGATGAAGGGTTGTTTACTAAGGTCAAATGGGAGAGGGTTGAATACATTGAATAATGGGGGAGCAGAACCTGTAGAGAGTTATAAGGGTAAAATTGGTTATGGTGGGTCACATGTTTAATTGCCATTTTTGATAAGTGGTTTTGATGTAATTGCTCCCCTATTTCTTTCCATTCCAGAAGCCACATCTGTTTTGGAATGAAGTCACCTGAGGAGATGCGCCAGCAGGCACACATCCAGGTTGTGAGTAAGAATCTGTACAGCCAGGACAACCACCATGCCCCCTTGCTGTACGGGGTGCTTGACCATAGGATGGTAAGCCCCCTGCCCCTTCCCAGTTATGCGTGTTGACTTCCTGATGAGAGCGGTGACTTAGCAGATTGAAGAGGCAAGGGCTTCTTCCCGTCTCCCCTGTTCCCCCTGCACATCTCAGGGCCTCCAGCTTTGGGTCAGTCGGATATGAATACACTGTGGCTTTCCAGGTGATTCTGACTGAGTCACCTGGCCACCTATGAGGTTGGGCCCCACTTTCCTATCTGGTGTCTGCATTGATGAGAGGGTGTGTTTTTATCCAAAGGGTACCAGTGAGAAGGACCGGCCTTGTGAGACCTGTGGGAAAAACCTGGCCGACTGTCTGGGCCACTACGGCTACATTGACTTGGAATTGCCATGTTTTCACGTGGGCTACTTCAGAGCAGTTATAGGCATCTTACAGGTAGGCATAGATGTGTTCATTTCCAAAGTATAAACTGGGGAGTTGCTGATCAAGGACACTGAAGTGAGCTTAGGAGTTGTGAGTGGTGGGGATACACCTAGGGAAGTTTTTTTTATACGAAACACTTGGATAAATGATCCTGCAGTGCATTAAATTGCTTGAGGATTCTTTACTCCTTAATTCTCCTTGAGTAGGTGGTAGGTACACATTGTAAAAAAATAGCAAAGCTATATATGAAAGAGCACAAAGAATAAAAATACAAGGTAACAAAAATCCTACCAACCAGCTATGAGTATAGCTTGCATTCTGATGAACATCAGCTGCCTCTCTATACATATCTTCCTGTAGGTGTGTGCATGTGGTCACTCAGTTAAGTGTCCTGGGTCATGGGTAGGGGAGGCATTTTAAAAGAAAAGACTTTTTCATCCTTTTCTTATTCTTTATTCTGTTTTGTTTAATTTTTAAATTTTCAAGATGATCTGCAAGGCTTGCTGCCACATCATGCTGTCCCAGGAGGAGAAAAAGCAGTTTCTGGATTATCTAAAGAAGCCCGGCCTGACCTACCTCCAGAAGCGAGGGCTGAAGAAGAAAATCTCTGACAAGTGCCGAAAGAAAAACGTCTGCCATCACTGTGGTGCTTTTAATGGTGAGCAGAATGCGTAAAAGGTTTAGTGATAGCATTTCCCATTGTCTCTTCTGTTTAGTTTATTAACTTTCTACAGGTTTTGAAGTCATCTTTTTTCTTAAAAATTAGGCTTTAGTGCCTAACAACTGATGCTGTTAGGAAATGTTCCACTCATCTTTCATTAGTATGGCAGTTTCAGTAATTCCATTAACCAGACTGCAACCTCAGGCCAGCCTCACCGGGAACCGAGTGTTTCCAACTTTGGTAAATAAATTAACTCTTATAGGTACTGTAAAGAAATGTGGATTACTGAAGATAATTCATGAGAAATACAAGACCAACAAAAAAGTAGTGGATCCTATTGTATCAAATTTCCTTCAGTCCTTTGAAACAGCCATCGAGCATAACAAAGAAGTAGAGCCGCTGCTGGGAAGGGCACAGGTGAGCCTGAAAACGCATGCCCATCCCCTGCTTGCCTCCCCCCACATCACACGTTGTGCGTGACCCCCCACCCCATATACACACCTTCTTTCAAAATGAGAAGTCAAATGACATTAGATCTCTCCAGCAATACCTCATGTGACAAACACTGAGCACTAAGTTTAATGTGGACTGGCCTTGTAACTAACAAATTTTAATTGTACACAAGGCATGTTACATTTTTATTGTAAAATTATAGCTGTATGGAGCATAAACTGGGAGGTCCTGTTTTTCACGTGGATAATCAGATGTAATTCCCATTACTTGGCACAAACCTAACAAGTATTTTATGAAGTGTCTTGCTCAGCCTTGCTATGAATTTGATAGGTATTTAATTCACATAGTATTGTCTAGAATTGATATTACAAAATTAGCAGATCTGTTAAGTGGCTACTGAGTACCAAACTCTTACCAGACCTGTGGGGGAGCATCAGGAACTATAAGATAATGGGTCTGCTCTCTAGGATCCCGCAGTTCAGATGTGTCTTATGTCATTAATCTGTGAAATGATAACTAATATCATCGAGTAGAGTCCTAACCATTGCATGAATGGCAAAGATAGTAAGTTCAAAGGGGAATTAGAGGGAAGGTGTCATTTTGGACTTGGTTAGGGAAGACTGTGATCTGAGGTGGTTTGATCTGGTCCTTAAACCTGAGTAGGGCTTGAAGAGTCTGGGCAGTGAGCTTAGCATGTCTAGGTGGCAATGTCTGGGCTCATTCTGAAGCTGAGGCTGCGTTTGAAAGCCCAAGGCACTACTAAAAGCACCTTGCATTCAGTGCTGTTACAGACAGGTACTGTTCCAAGTTCTGTGCATGAATTCCCTCAGGTAGTTCTCACACCAGCCCCTGGGACAGCATCGTCCAAGAGGGCAGCATGTCATGGACTGAGTTCTCACTATGGCCGTTGGAGTGCAGGCCTCTACCAGAGAAAAAGCCAACAACTGAGGCTGCTGTGTAGAGGGCATCCTGCTCTGGGCAGTGTGGGGCCATCAGAAGTTTTGAGCAGGACAGGGACATCGTAAATAAATGACAAAATCTTAGAAGACCCTGACTACTCATGAAATGGTACCATTACAAAAGTGGGAAGACCAGTCACGGACTGGGAGAAAATAGTCACAAATCATATATCTGACACAGGACTCTATTTTACAAAAAATGGGAAACATTCTTACAAATCAGTCAGAAAAAAAGTCACCCAAGTTCTAAGAAGTGAATTGGCACTTCACAAAAGTATATGTTCAAATAGCCAATAAATAAGTGAAAAGTTGCTGTCATCGGAGGAGTGTTAATTAAAACTATATGCACACACACCCTTCCAGAAAAATTAAAGTGTAAAAAATCTGAAAATCAAGCACTGGGAAAGATCTGAAGCAGGTGACGCTCGCACATTGATGTGGCACCACCACTTAGAACAACAGTTTGGTGATGTCTTATAAAGTTAAACCTACACTTACCATACAGTCTAGCAGTTTTACTCTTAGGTATATACCTAAGAGAAATGAGTGCATATGTCTGCAAGAATGTTCACTGTGGCTTTATAAAGCCAAAATTAGAAATAGACCATTTGACTGTCAACAGGAGAATAAGCAAGTTGTCACTGATCCATAAAATGAAATATTACCCTGCAATGAAAGAAAAGAACTTCTGACATACATAATCTGGCTGGCTCTCAGAATCCTGCTTAGAGAAAGCAGCTTTCTACAAAAGAGTGCACAGTGTATGGTAACATTTAGATCCAAGTCCGAAAACAGGCCAGACTGATCCATAATGAGATGTCAGGAGAGCAGTTATCTTTGCGGTGAGGGCATGGTACTGACTGGGAAAGGGAGTATCAGTGCTTTTTGCAGTGATGGCAGTATTCTGTATCTTGATCTGAATGATGCTGTATGTATGTACAGGTGTATTCTTATAGAAATGTATCAATCTCTACTCTTTAAGATAGGTGCAATTTACTAATATGTAAGTTGTGCCTTTATTTGGAAGTGGAAAAAAAGGTAAAAAAAAAAACAGACCCTAAGGCTGGATACTGAGAGTGGAATCAGAATCTTTGTTTGCAGCAAAAATGGACAAAAACTGATGACCAACCACTGTGGAAGTGGGTGTGCGAGGGAGTAATCAGAGTTGAACAAGTGCCCCTGTAGGGGCATCTCAAAAAATAGTAGCTCTCCTGGAAATGGGAACAGAGGGCATCAATGATTCATTCATTCAAGTGGAAATATCTTCAAGGCAGTTAGAATTAAGTTAGTGCAGAGAGAGTTAAGGTATAGGCTAAAAAAGTTAATTGTGTCCTTCTACAGCCATAGAGGTGGGACATTGTCCAGCTGGTTGCTGTGTAGAAAGTGGTCAGAAGCCTGGCCAGCAGGCTTGGTCAGTGAGCATACAAGGTACCTGGGCTCTCTCGGGTGCAGCCTACTGGCAGCCTCTGCTGCTCACAGATTAGCCTCCCTGGCATTGCACCACCATTCTCCCCCGGCCAGCTCTCTCCCAGGCACCCATAGCCACTGTCCTTGCTCACCAAGGACCACTTCTGTGCTCCACTCTCTACAGTAGCAGCAGTTCTCCTTTAGGGCCTGGAAGGCATTGTGTTTGGAAAAACCTCCTACATGACTCAGCACAGGCAGTGCACCCTCTCATTTAAGAGTCACTTGTCTAGCTCCTCAAGCTTGGCTCTCAGGGCGCTCACCCACCACCAATGACTTCTTGTCCACCCTACCCCCACCCCACTTTACCCAGGTTGACAGCCCAGAGGTGGTTTAGGCTAGTGGTTAAGATCTTTGGCTTTGGGGCCAGGCAGATCTGAGATTAGAGCCCAGCTCTGCCTCTTAGTCATTCTAAGACAGACACATTTCCCAACCTGGACTTGAGATTCCTCAGTAATAAAACAGGGATTATAAGAGCAGCACACTGCCTGGTACATAGCAAGTGTTTAGAGCGTGTTACCCAATTAGGGTAGTAGTTAGCACTGCCACGATGTTCCTGTGATTGTGACAATCATAATAAAGACAGGAGGTTTCCTCCTGCCTGCGTGTATGCTTGCACTCGTAGTGTCCCTTCAGCTTAGGGAAACCTCTGCTCTGCCCCTCCTCCTCACCAGAATCCCCCTCGCTTAGCTTCTTCCATGCAGCCTCCTCTGCTCTCTGGACCCCACTTTGAGCTTACCCTTCCCACAAACACATGCATATTATCCATGCTTCATATAATGCCTGGGTTCAGCCTGGTATTTCTGTTAGTTTCTTCTGCTTCAAGCTTGGTCTGTAACAAGATCGATTTTTCTGAGGTCCTCTTTGAAGTGCTTGCAACAGTCACAGGTCCTGTGAGATCATCAGCTTGTCCTGGTTGTTCTTACACCACCTGAGGAAGGAAGGAGGGAGCAAAACACGAGTTCACCATTTGCCTCATTCCAAGTGGCCCTTCCCTAGAGAAGGCCCCATAGTCACCTAGTGAATAAAGCATCCTTGAGTAATACTTACCTTTATGGAGAGCAACAGCATGCAGACAAGCAGGCATATTGTCATGCATCTCATTCATCTCATGTCCTGACATGTTTATCTGCCCCTTTACTTCAGGAATGTGGGCCCCCTGCCTCAGGGCAGCCCAGTATCACTAGTAGAGCTTTAGTGCTTGACCTGTTCTGAGACACAGACCCTTTAGAAATTGGACAAGAACTCGACTCTACCCCCAGAAGACTAATGTGTATCCATTCCCAATTTTAATACAAATCCAGGTGTTGGTGATCCAGCAGATAAGCATCTATCTCTCCATAGATGACATCAATCCTGTCTCCCCACCAGATAGAAATGCCTGCCCCAGTGTCCCCACAGACAGTGACTTCCAGCCATGCTATCTCATCACAACCCAAGGCAGCCCACACTCTATCACTAGAGAGCTGTCACCGTTAGGATAGTTTGCCTTGTATAAAACCCAGTCCTTGAATATCTCTCTGTTGGTCCCTGATTTCTAATCTCTGGCACATAACAGTAAGTCCGCAGCCTCTTCCATGTGCCTCTTGAGAGGCGGTTGTTACATCACTCTTGAGTAACTGCTCTTGCTAAGACCTGGTTTCCAAATTCTTGCCAGTCCTCCTGCCCTCCTGGATGGCCTTCAGTGCCAAGACGTTCTCATGAAGTACTGTCTGTGGGACTGCAAGTGACAGCTGGCCTTCCTCCTGTTCCTGGTGTTAGTTAGTTAAAACTAACTAATTGGATTTAGATTTCCTCCCTGACTGCTTCAGATGGCAGTGAGGTGCCCATTGCCGGGAGACAGGGAAGCTGAGAAAGAGAATTCCTGTGGGCAGAGAACCAGACTGGAAAACCTCTAGTAGGATTCCTTCTCCCCAACTCCATTGCTGTATCCTCATGGGCAGGACCACAGGAACTTCCTCTTGAGGCAGGGCAGTAGCTATTCAGACATTTCTTTCTTAACTTTGTTCCCCTTCTCATTAAGTTACTTTTAGCAAATTCTGCTTGTAACATACATCAGCAATCACACAACCTGCCAATCCCAAGAAAATTTAGTAGCAAGAGTAAGGCACAAGCTGACCATTCTTACCTTTGATCTTTGAATATCTGATAACTTGCATAGTTCTTCTATTAAGTTGTGACAGCATAGCACTTGTATCAAATGGAGCTAATACAAAGGCAGTAGAAGTTCACTACAAAAATGTTAATGTGAAAAAGGAAGCAGAAAGGTTCTAATTCCATTTACCTAAAGACATCACTGTTAACACCTTGATAAACTTCCATTTTCCTCTCTTCTAGATGTACATTTTCTCTTAAATGAGATCATATCATACACATCCATATTTCCTTTACCAATATTTTGTGAACGCCATTCATGACAATAGCTGCACATCTGTAGTGTCATTTTTTTAAATGGCTTCATAGTTTTCTGTGTATGATATACCATAATTTTACTTAGCCAGTAACCTGTAGGTTATTTCCAGTTTTTTTCTATTAAGATCAGCTTTATTAAATATCCTTATAGCTGAATCTTTGTGTGAATTTCCAAAATCATACCCTTTGGAAGAATTAAGAAAGTGGAATTATTGTCTTTAATAACTGGAATAAAAGGCATGCATTTTTTAGGGCTCTTGTAACATAGCATGTTATCAACAGAAGTCTCTGTCATCACTTACACTTACTTGAGTTAAGTGGGAGATAGGTTAGAAGGCATGGAGAAGTAGACCCTTGCCCAGGCTATAGAAAATGAACATGTATCTCCATTCCTTTCCTCCCTTCCATAGGAAAACTTGAATCCCTTAGTAGTTCTGAATTTATTTAAACAAATCCCAGCTGAAGATGTCCCTCTACTTCTGATGAACCCAGAAGCTGGAAAGCCCTCCGATTTGATTCTCACACGACTTCTAGTGCCCCCGTTGTGTATCAGACCTTCTGTCGTGAGTGATTTGAAGTCAGGCACCAATGAAGATGATCTGACAATGAAATTGACAGAAATCATTTTCCTAAATGATGTCATTAAAAAGGTCAGTGCTTCCTATTGGCATTTCGAGGCCCTAAGTTTCGGAGCATATCTTTGCAAACACTTCAGATCAAGAAAAATTGACCAGACTTGTTTCTGTTCATTCTCTTCTCTTTTTTAGCATCGGATATCAGGAGCTAAGACCCAGATGATCATGGAAGACTGGGATTTCTTACAGCTGCAGTGTGCCCTCTACATTAACAGCGAGCTCTCAGGCATACCCCTCAACATGGCACCTAAGAAATGGACCAGGGGTTTCGTCCAGCGCCTGAAGGGGAAACAGGGTACATTTCCAAATAATGTGCAGGAGACGGTCATCTACTGCCTTTTCTTGGAGTGTGTGTCCATCTTAACTTCAAGCTTGGTCTGTAACAAGATCGATTTTTCTGAGGTCCTCTTTGAAGTGCTTGCAACAGTCACAGGTCCTGTGAGATCATCAGCTTGTCCTGGTTGTTCTTACACCACCTGAGGAAGGAAGGAGGGAGCAAAACACGAGTTCACCATTTGCCTCATTCCAAGTGGCCCTTCCCTAGAGAAGGCCCCATAGTCACCTAGTGAATAAAGCATCCTTGAGTAATACTTACCTTTATGGAGAGCAACAGCATGCAGACAAGCAGGCATATTGTCATGCATCTCATTCATCTCATGTCCTGACATGTTTATCTGCCCCTTTACTTCAGGAATGTGGGCCCCCTGCCTCAGGGCAGCCCAGTATCACTAGTAGAGCTTTAGTGCTTGACCTGTTCTGAGACACAGACCCTTTAGAAATTGGACAAGAACTCGACTCTACCCCCAGAAGACTAATGTGTATCCATTCCCAATTTTAATACAAATCCAGGTGTTGGTGATCCAGCAGATAAGCATCTATCTCTCCATAGATGACATCAATCCTGTCTCCCCACCAGATAGAAATGCCTGCCCCAGTGTCCCCACAGACAGTGACTTCCAGCCATGCTATCTCATCACAACCCAAGGCAGCCCACACTCTATCACTAGAGAGCTGTCACCGTTAGGATAGTTTGCCTTGTATAAAACCCAGTCCTTGAATATCTCTCTGTTGGTCCCTGATTTCTAATCTCTGGCACATAACAGTAAGTCCGCAGCCTCTTCCATGTGCCTCTTGAGAGGCGGTTGTTACATCACTCTTGAGTAACTGCTCTTGCTAAGACCTGGTTTCCAAATTCTTGCCAGTCCTCCTGCCCTCCTGGATGGCCTTCAGTGCCAAGACGTTCTCATGAAGTACTGTCTGTGGGACTGCAAGTGACAGCTGGCCTTCCTCCTGTTCCTGGTGTTAGTTAGTTAAAACTAACTAATTGGATTTAGATTTCCTCCCTGACTGCTTCAGATGGCAGTGAGGTGCCCATTGCCGGGAGACAGGGAAGCTGAGAAAGAGAATTCCTGTGGGCAGAGAACCAGACTGGAAAACCTCTAGTAGGATTCCTTCTCCCCAACTCCATTGCTGTATCCTCATGGGCAGGACCACAGGAACTTCCTCTTGAGGCAGGGCAGTAGCTATTCAGACATTTCTTTCTTAACTTTGTTCCCCTTCTCATTAAGTTACATTTAGCAAATTCTGCTTGTAACATACATCAGCAATCACACAACCTGCCAATCCCAAGAAAATTTAGTAGCAAGAGTAAGGCACAAGCTGACCATTCTTACCTTTGATCTTTGAATATCTGATAACTTGCATAGTTCTTCTATTAAGTTGTGACAGCATAGCACTTGTATCAAATGGAGCTAATACAAAGGCAGTAGAAGTTCACTACAAAAATGTTAATGTGAAAAAGGAAGCAGAAAGGTTCTAATTCCATTTACCTAAAGACATCACTGTTAACACCTTGATAAACTTCCATTTTCCTCTCTTCTAGATGTACATTTCCTCTTAAATGAGATCATATCATACACATCCATATTTCCTTTACCAATATTTTGTGAACGCCATTCATGACAATAGCTGCACATCTGTAGTGTCATTTTTTTAAATGGCTTCATAGTTTTCTGTGTATGGATATACCATAATTTTACTTAGCCAGTAACCTGTAGGTTATTTCCAGTTTTTTTCTATTAAGATCAGCTTTATTAAATATCCTTATAGCTGAATCTTTGTGTGAATTTCCAAAATCATACCCTTTGGAAGAATTAAGAAAGTGGAATTATTGTCTTTAATAACTGGAATAAAAGGCATGCATTTTTTAGGGCTCTTGTAACATAGCATGTTATCAACAGAAGTCTCTGTCATCACTTACACTTACTTGAGTTAAGTGGGAGATAGGTTAGAAGGCATGGAGAAGTAGACCCTTGCCCAGGCTATAGAAAATGAACATGTATCTCCATTCCTTTCCTCCCTTCCATAGGAAAACTTGAATCCCTTAGTAGTTCTGAATTTATTTAAACAAATCCCAGCTGAAGATGTCCCTCTACTTCTGATGAACCCAGAAGCTGGAAAGCCCTCCGATTTGATTCTCACACGACTTCTAGTGCCCCCGTTGTGTATCAGACCTTCTGTCGTGAGTGATTTGAAGTCAGGCACCAATGAAGATGATCTGACAATGAAATTGACAGAAATCATTTTCCTAAATGATGTCATTAAAAAGGTCAGTGCTTCCTATTGGCATTTCGAGGCCCTAAGTTTCGGAGCATATCTTTGCAAACACTTCAGATCAAGAAAAATTGACCAGACTTGTTTCTGTTCATTCTCTTCTCTTTTTTAGCATCGGATATCAGGAGCTAAGACCCAGATGATCATGGAAGACTGGGATTTCTTACAGCTGCAGTGTGCCCTCTACATTAACAGCGAGCTCTCAGGCATACCCCTCAACATGGCACCTAAGAAATGGACCAGGGGTTTCGTCCAGCGCCTGAAGGGGAAACAGGGTACATTTCCAAATAATGTGCAGGAGACGGTCATCTACTGCCTTTTCTTGGAGTGTGTGTCCATCTTACCTGTTGGTGATCACAGACTTCACTTGGTCTTTCTGGCCATATTACCCCGAACAGCACATGTGCCCTGAGGACCAGTGACACCTTTTTATTTATTTAGGTCGATTCAGAGGCAATCTCTCAGGAAAGAGAGTGGATTTTTCTGGCAGAACAGTCATCTCACCTGACCCCAACCTCCGGATTGATGAGGTAGCTGTGCCAGTTCATGTGGCCAAAATTCTAACTTTTCCTGAGAAGGTAAGTACCATTCAGTTGCTTGGTTCTTTGTTTTAAATCCAGTCTTTTACATTATATTTTGAAATTCCAAACAACAGACAGTGGAAAGTCCCCAGGAACCCACCCAACCTGTAGTTTGGTGTGTGTGAGCATGTGTATTTTTCCAGTTTGTTTCATACATGCATCATCATATATTATAAAACAAATATAACCATTATTGTGCCTGGCTTCATATGTATATATACATTAAACATAATGTTTTGTAACTTCTTTTTCCAAGTGATATCATCTTTAACGTCTCTCTCTGTTTATTCATACTTCATGTTTTAAAGTTAACTGAGGAACACCATTCATAGTTAATTTTCTTGGGATGGATTATTATTTTTAAAACCTTAGAATCACTAAATCAAAGACTTAAATATTTTAAAGCTGTTGATGCAGAACCAGAAAGACCGTCTCACTTTACACTCAGTTCACACTCATTGTGAGTGTAAAGTGGTTTTGTTTTGTTTTTTAACTGAGGCGTAGGAACTTCAAGGCCTGAGAGCAGAAAGATGTTGATCGGGCTTGGCTTTGCCCTTGAGATCCAAAATTAGCCCAAGTCATAGATGCTCTGGTGAAGTTTGTGTAAAGTGTCCTCAGTTGAGTTACTAATGATGCAGAGTTTCCTTCCCTGAGATGGTGGCCATGAGACTCCCATCCAAGAGGCTGCAGGACGTGACAGTGCAGACCAGGGCCCATGGTGCTGCTGTCACAGGTTTTAAACCTTAGAACACATGGTAAATTCCTTGCAGATGGAACTGTCACCTGGTTTAGGGATAACAGAATGTACTGGAAAGTCCCTTCAGGTCAGTCGAGGCCACTCATTTTAGAGATGGGGAAACCAAAGGCCAGTAAAGAACTTTGTCCTGTCACCCAGTGAGTAGTGACTGAGTTCAGACTGGTACCTGTGCCAGTCCATTGTTACACTCGAGACCCCATGCAGCAAGATGTTCCTCTCTTTCTCTCCTTCACATGAGGGAAGTAGAAACTGAGACACAATTCAGTATCTCGTTGTAATTTTACTATGGTCCTGCAGGTGAACAAAGCAAACATCAGCTTTCTGAGGAAACTGGTCCGTAATGGCCCTGAAGTTCACCCTGGAGCCAATTTCATTCAGCAGAGACATACACAGATGAAAAGGTAATGCTTTCCCATTCTAGTTGGATGTAACTACCTTATCATGACCAAGTTTACTGTCACCATACTCAGCCATAGAATGGAGTCCAAAATACAGGATTTATGACATCTTACTAAGTGAAAAATACTTGTTTAAATTGCAGAGAGCCTAGCTATGTCATTTGCTTTGTTAGCTCATTGCATATACACAAAGTGTTCATTTGTTCTCTAGCGTTTAATGTTGTTGGATCTAGGTAGACAACACACATTGGGATTGAAATCAGGTAGTTTTCTGTGTCACCTGGGCTCTTGGGTTTACATGGTATGCTCAACCCAGGATGCATTCATTTTGCCAACTCTGGCTTTTCACAATGAGATGAACTGATTACCAGTGCCTCTTTGTCTCATAAGAAACATGAGATTAAAACATCAACAGGGCCTTGTGGGAGCAGCTGATTTATTACTGTATTTGTGATTCTAAGACATAGTCTTTTCACATCTTGACATTTCTAAAATTAAGATGTGTTTTACATCAATCTGTCATAGTTTAATTGCTGGATTATAGAAGCATCTTAGATCCAATGAAATAAGATTATTTTAGAGACTGGATCCTGATCCATAGAGGGAGAAACTTGATGAGGGAACTTTGTTCTCACAGATCATGTTTGTTATTATATGTTAAGGTTTTTGAAATACGGAAATAGGGAAAAGATGGCTCAGGAGCTCAAGTACGGGGACATTGTAGAAAGACACCTCATAGATGGAGATGTGGTGCTGTTCAATCGGCAGCCCTCGCTGCACAAGTTGAGCATTATGGCGCATCTGGTGAGTGTGAGATTTCTACTTTTATTTTTTGGGGGTGGAAATTTGCTGTGTGTGCAATGCTGAATTCCAGACATCTAAAATTAAAATTGCCAGTAATCTCAAATTTTCATAACTTTTTATTTTTCTTCTCACTTTTTAGTTTGAGTGAAACTTTTAAATTTCAAGCGTCCCTTCAGTGTTCTTAATATTTATAATGTAATATTCATATACAACAGTTAAACAGGAACTACTTGAACATCAGTGTGAAAGTGACTAGCATGATTTCACTTGGAAACAAAAGTATATACACATGTGTATGCACAAACTTCAGTAAAGTAGATATGGCAGAAAATGAACTTGATTTAACTTAGCATATTAATTAAGGAACTAAAATGCATAAAAGATTTTTCTTTGCAGTAGTGCTCCAACTAAGACCTTAAACCATATTTTTCTGGTGATTTAGTGCTGCAACAGCAGTAGCTCTTTTTTCTAGAGATTTAACATGGAAATGAGATACAACTTTAATTTGTTCAATATTCATAAATTCTTCTACCTGCAAAACTGTTAAATCCATGAGCATTTGCTAATGGTGTTTAAACAGGCTCTTAAGGTAGTGTTTTTCTAGATTCAGAATTTCGATAGTTTAGGAAGATGTTACATCATTCTCTTCATTTACTGGTGAAAATACCAAAAAGGCACTTTTGATTATAGGGATTTAGGATGCAAACAAAAGCTTGTCCTTTCTGGAAATTTTCATTTGGCTTTGGCAAGTTTTAAAACAGAAGTTTTCTTGCTTGAGAATTTTCAAATATATTCCGAAGTAGAAAGAAAACTGTGATGAGCATACACATTCCCATTCTCTATTCAGTAATTTTCAAGATTTTGCCACCGTTTTCTCTCCCTTTTTCCTTTGATGAACCCAGTGCCGTGTCTTTTTCCAAATGTAATCAGTTTACTTCTGTAAAACACGTATAGCCAGTGTCATTATCACACCTCACAAAATAGTTATTCCTTAATATTGTCCAGTACCCTGTCCATATTCTAATTTCCCCAAGAGAAAATCTTTTTGCAGGTAGTTTGTTCAAATCACGATGTAGAGTCTACGTCTTACATTTAGTTGATGCATGTCTTCAGTCTCTGTTGATCTAAATAGACCTCCCCCTTCTAATTTCAATGACATTGTTGGAAAAAACTAGGTCATTTGTCCTGAGAATGTCCCCTGTTCTCAGTTTGTATGTGCATAGCATTAAATGTTTCTTCATTCTTTCTGTAAACTGGAAGTCAGCTCTCAAAGCATTACCAGATTCGGTTCAACTTGTGGGCAAAAATAACTCGTGTAAGTGCTGCTGGCTGCTTCCTCTTGCTTTGTTTCAGGAGACACATGCTGTCTTGCTGCCCCACTAAGAAGGTTAGGAATTCAGGTGCTTCAGCTGGTGCCTCCCTTCCTTGAAAGTTTCCTTATCAACCTTTTTTCTAACGGTGTCATCCATTTATAACCATTGCCTGTAGTATTTCATTGGGCCTGCAAAATGGTAATTTTCTAACTTATCATTCCTTTCACATTTAATACCTAGCATTCTTGTAATAGAGAACTTTCCCTTGTTAACTAAGGCTGTTCACATACCCAGAAATAGAGTTCATAAAGGAAAGGCAACATAAATGCCTAATCCTTTCTCCTTAATGTCAGTTTGGGAGTAAAAAGTTGGCACACAGTTTCTTCCAGCCAGGTTGGTTTGGGTTTGTTTATTAGTTATGCCTTTCCCTTTTTCAGTGTCATTGTAAACTCATGGGTTTTTATTTAGTCAGTATGTTTTAATCAACTTTTGCCATTAATCCTTTGACATCATTGGCCAGTGGAAGCCTCTTCATGTGACACCTTCCTATGTTGGTGTTTACCTCATAGTATTAAATTCATTTCATTGTTTTGATCTAATAAAGTTATATGAATGAGTCCACAAGTGACATCTATCACGTGACAGAATGTACTAGAAATGTATTTCCTTATGTAAAAGTGTCCAGTTCTCTAGGAAGCCATTTTTTATTGTTTTTAAACTAAGAAGGCTTTGGATAAATAACTCAAAGTTCTTCTGTTTTGTTTTGTGTTCCACAGGCCAGGGTCAAGCCCCACCGGACCTTTAGATTTAATGAGTGTGTCTGTACACCCTACAATGCGGATTTTGATGGCGATGAAATGAACCTTCATCTTCCTCAAACAGAAGAAGCTAAAGCAGAGGCCCTTGTTCTGATGGGGGTATGTAGGGTGTACAGCCTCACTTCTGTGTAACAGCTCCTTAGTAGGAGGGGAAGGGGTTGATGACTTGTTTGAGAACACCCTATACTATGTAAGTGAGCTGTAACAGGTGGGGAGCTGAATGGAGTAGGTATCTTCTGACCTGTAATGTGGGTTCCTAAGGGAAAATATATATATGAGCACCAGTTAATGAAAAGGTAAGACAAGGATATAGCAATACTATGACTGTTGAGTATCATAGGAAAACATGTTCTGTATAAGTAGATTTTCTTTGAAAGATTCATTAAACACCAGTATATTTTATTGGACATTCTGAATGGAAACCTTTCTAAAGTATATTATATGCTTTGTCTTCTAAGCGGCACACTATACATAATCATTTTGTAATGACTCTTATCACTGTCTTATTTTACAAGAGTTAAGGTGAGCCCATTAGATGCTGCGGGAGGTCAGTGATGAGTAAAGCAGATACGTGCTCTTAAGGAGCTTACAGTTGAGCTCTAATAGTTGCTCACTCCTGAACCCAGCCATAACACAGTGGTACACGGGACTTGTTTTGTGGGGCTCTTCCCTCCTAAATCTAGTGGTCCCAACCCATTGAGTTTTTAGAGCTTGGGTTTTTCTTTTTTCCAGCACTCTGATTGTCCGTATTATGAACTGATATGTCTTGTGGCTCTAAGAGTTCTTACCTCCAAAGACAGTTTTTACCCTTCTGATACAGTACTTTTAATCTGTTCTGGTTTAAAGTGTTAGGGTTGAGTCTAAAGTAAACATAATTAAGTTCTACAAGCAAATCTGTTGAACTCCATAGGATTTGGTGGGGACAGGAAGGAGGGGCTGCGTTCGTGGCCCTCACCTGGGATCTTCATGCCTGAAGTTGACATACCTTTTCTGATAAAGTATTTAATGTATCATGTATTTTGTGTACTTACTTAATTCTAAGAAATTCATGGGGCTAAAACAGACTATGGCCTTCAGTTATTTAAAACATTGCTTCTTATTTATTCAGACATTGTAGCATGGTTGTAGTCATGGTTTATAATACGTTTTTTCTACTTAATATATGTAAATACCCTATTTGTTGTAGAGCCTTCATAATTATTGATTATAATGGCCTTGCAGTATGTCACCAAGCTAACACACCCTGATTCGTCTACACTCTGTTGTTGAGAATTGCATAGTATTTTCCTTGTTTTACAGCAAGGACTAATCCTGCAAGGGCCATCTTTGGGCATTCGGAGTCTTTCTTCTTTTGAGTTATTTCTTCAGACTCAACAACCTTTTAAAATGGTTTAGTTGATACTTACTGAGCACCTGCTGTGTGTGAAACACTCTTCTAGCAGTGAATACAAAAGTCACAGTTCTTGCTGTCATCCTATTTGAGTGAAGAGAGATGAAGAATAAACAAATATAAAATATGTCAGGTGGTGATAAGTGCTAGGAAGAAATGAATAAAGCAGGGTAAGAAAAAAAGAGAATGAGAAGGGTCCTGTTTTCTCTAGGATAGTTTAGGAGGGCCACTAGAAAGGTAATACTGGAGCTGAGTTCTAGAAGCGGTGATAATGTAAGCAAGGTAACTGTCAGCAAACAATCCAGGCAGAGGAGCAGCAGGTGCCCAAGTCCCCATGGTACACTCATACCTGTGGTAACAAGAACCTAGCCTGTTTTCTTCTAAGCCTCAATGTTTGTAGCAGTTGTGGTGAGTGCTGTGCTGGGTATTGGTGGGTAGCGAGAGAGAAGGTGGTTGATGGTTCAGTGGCCAGTGGAGGCTGGGGACCATGACGAATTCTTGTTCTGTGCTCCCACAGTCGGTGCATAGATCATTCTTTCGACCTCGCATCCTCATTTCTAGTAAGTGGTCCAGAGAAAATAATCAGTCTTGCTGACATTTTTTTCCTCTCCCTTTGACAGATGAAGGAACCAGGGTTAATGACAAAGCTGGGATTAAGACCCCTGGCCTCTATTTCTCAGCCTCATTTTTCTGCTCTTTATTAATGCCAGACAGTTTGAAGTTTTTGTGGTGCAGATCTTTGGACTGCATCGTGCATCCAAGGATGGCTAACTTAATTGTGTTAATTTTTCCTTCAGACTAAAGCAAATCTTGTAACCCCAAGGAATGGAGAACCACTAATTGCTGCTATTCAGGATTTTCTAACAGGTGAGTTTATTAAATTTACTTGAAAGGAGACTGGGTCTTGATTCTCATTCACAGTGAATTATGTGATGACTTGAAAAGCTATTTAATTGCCAGTGTTAAATTCTGTTGTTTGTTTACTAAGTTTGATTGTGAACCCACTTGAGAGATTTTGTATTAGTTGGTTATTCATTATATCAATAATTTATTGAGTTCCTACCATACACTAGACATTTTTCTCATTTTTCTAAGTGCCAGAGATGGGACAGTGAGGAAAATGAAGTACCTTTACTTGTGGAGCTTAGATTCTAGTTAGAGGAGAAAGCCGATAAAACAGCTGTATGTTTAACTTAGTTATAGTCCATTTTAAAACCGAAACCTTGTGATATTTCTCACAATTTCATTGCTTTTCTTTGCGTTGTGTTTTAACATTCTTAGGTGCCTATCTCCTCACTCTTAAGGACACTTTCTTTGACCGAGCCAAGGCTTGCCAAATCATTGCTTCCATATTGGTTGGCAAGGATGAGAAAATTAAAGTTCGCCTCCCACCACCCACCATATTAAAGGTTTGTGCAGGAACAAGGTGTGTACACACACGTGGGCTTAATGTACTGTGCTGCTGCTGAGTTTGCACGTGAACTACAGTCTTACTTGATGAAGGGTGATGGGGAGAACAGGCTCAGCCAGCTGATGCTCTGGCTTCCTCTCGTCCTTCAGCCTGTCACCCTGTGGACGGGAAAGCAGATCTTCAGTGTCATCCTCAGACCTAGTGATGACAACCCAGTGAGGGCCAACCTCCGAACCAAGGGCAAGCAGTACTGTGGCAAAGGAGAAGATCTCTGTGTCAATGACTCCTGTGAGTTAAAGCAGTTCGGGGTGGTGCAGCGGGGTGGGGAGGGGGAGAGGGTGCAGAAAAGCAGGTGGCCAATGACCACCTCCACTTAACAAGCAAATCCAATGTTCCTCTAAGGGCTTACCAGGAAGTTTATTCTTCAGGGAAATGTAGCTGTGGTTTCTCTTCTCAGGTGTGATTTCTAAAAGTTTGAGATCATCTAGATACATGACCCAGTGATTAGAATATTCTCCAAATGTGTTCTGTCTTAAGTGACTAGTTTCTGTCAGTTATAATAAAAGGCAGTTTCTTTTATTCTGTCCTTTTTTTTTGTAATCAACAAGGATCTCATTATTTAAGCCATATAATTTATTGTTTTATGTCCAAAATGTGTCCATTGTCTAAAAGTGTGACTAAAAAGTGTAACTGAAAGACTTTTTTTTACCTGCCTCACCTGGTCAACAGGTTTTTTTTTTTTGTATAATTAATCTACAATTACATGAAGGACATTATATTTATTAGGCTCCCCCCTTCACCAAGTCCCCCCCACATACCCCTTCACAGTCATTGTCCATCAGTGTAGTAAGATGCTGTAAAATCACTACTTGTCTTCTCTGTGTGGCACAGCCCTCCCCGTGCCCCACACACACTATACATGCTAATCGTAATGCCCCCTTTCTTTTTCCCCGCCCTTATCCCTCCCTTCCCACCCATCCTCCCCAGTCCCTTTCCCTTTGGTAACTGTTAGTCCATTCTTGGGTTCTGTGATTCTGCTGCTGGTCAACAGGTTTTTTAATAACATGAAGATCAGGTACAACTGAGAAGATTTAAATGCCTCGTTTAAAGCCATCTAGAATCAGACTAGTTCAACCCAAACTGTGGTCCACAGAACAATGCCATTCAGCTAGCATTTACTCTTGGGCATGAGCTCCATAGTTCATCCTAGACTGCAAAAGAGCAGTTCCCCATCATGTTACTTCAAGTGGCACTGGTTTGGAATGGGCTTTCCTATCAAGGCCTGATGACAAGAAATGGACCCCCAGGACTCTGAAAGGCAGAGCCTCTCTGATGGTTGGGATATCTACTGTCTTGTCATGAAGAGTAAATGTCTTGAAGGGCACTGGTTTTCTTCAGTATTATAACCATTCCTTTGAAAATATGCTCTCTGATCTTTTCAACATTTTGGCTTCTTGTTTTAGATTGTATTTTATTCCTTTCTAGATAGAAATTTCATTTTGTTGTTATATAGGCTAATCATGATGGTGCCCATGTTAGTTGTCAATATTATGGGTGAATAGCAGAGTGCTGTACAAAACACTTGGCTGTACGATTTCCATCTGATGCTCAAAATAACCCTCTCACATAAATGACAAGTACTTGATATTGTCATCTATAGTTCATGATGTGGAGAATGCGGATTTAATAATACACTTTAGAATTAGGACTATAAGGAAACTTAACTGCATCTTCCATGTTTTCTAAAAGTCCCTAGATTTCTTTTTTTCCCTTCAAAAAAAAAAATAGTTAAAGAGAGTTTCTATTTGCGTTGCTTTAACTTTCAACCAAGAAATGTAATTTCTCAGACACCTCAAATTCATTTTGGAATGAAGCCAATTAATAAATACTAAATTAATTGTCTGTTTAAATGCGTATCCTTTCTGTAACAATGCGTATTGTTATCCTTTCAGATGTTACTATCCAGAACAGCAATTTGATGAGTGGCAGCATGGACAAAGGAACACTGGGATCAGGATCCAAAAACAATATTTTTTACATTTTGCTGCGAGACTGGGGGCAGAATGAAGCTGCCGATGCAATGTCACGGCTTGCAAGGCTAGCTCCTGTCTACCTCTGTAAGTGTTTCAGCGTCCTCATTTTATTGCTGTAATTGTTGGGGCTTTACTGTCATTTCATCCCCCCCAACCACACACATACACACAGAGAAAAGGAGACTTATTCCAGGCTAAATCATTTCACTTTCCTTAATGAAATTAACCTGATACCGATTCAGTCTCAAAATCTACAGTAGCTCTCTACTGCATATCAGATGGGGTCATTCTATAGGGCCCTTCATGGAATGCTTCCATGGTACCTGTACACCTACTGTAGCCCTGTGGGCCTTCCATGATTCAGCCCTACCAGGTTACTCAGTGTTTTCCTACTATCTGTGCACTGTTCCATTTCTTTTGTGTGCACAGGCTTTGAGCATGCTATGGGTCAAGAGATTTTTGCATTACTGTGAAAACATCTTTATTCACCTTTTGTACTTGATTGATTCTTTGCCTAGGTATAGAATTCTAGATTGAAAATTATTATCCCTCAGAATGTTGAAGGTATTGCTATACTCTGTTCTAGCCTTCAGACTTGCTATTAAGGTGTATTTCTATTCTTATTCCAAAATTTTTATATTTGAATTCTCTCTTCATTCTGGGAGCTTTGACAATCCTTTCTTTGTTTTATTAAGTGCTAAGAGCTCACAATGGTACACCCTTGGTATGGGTCTTTTTCATTCATTTTGCTGTGCTGGGCATTCTATAAACTCTTAATCTGCGACTATGTGTCCTTCAGTCATGGAAATTTTCTTATTTACTATTATTTTTTGATCGTTTCCACTCCTTAACTTTCTCCACTCTCTCTTTTTGGAATTTCTATTAATTGTATAGTAGAGCTCCTGGACTGATTCTCTGGTTTCTTGTCTTCTTTCCCTGTTTTCCATTTCTCTATTTCTGGATTCACTTTATCTTTTAAAGTGTATCCTTTTACTGATTTTTAATTTTTACTGTCATATATTTGATTTCCAACCATATTTTTCATTGTTCTTTATTTGAAGGTAGTTCTTTTTTTTTTCTTAAGACTTTTTTGTCCTTGATCCCCAGATAATGTTTACAGAGAATATTTTCCATAGTGTTATTTTATGAGTTTATTCTTTCCTGATAGTTTCATTTTTCTGTGCACTTGTTGTCCTGTCTTTTATGTTGAAAACTTCCTCAAATGTCTGGCAGTCTCTGGCAATCCATTCATATTTTAGGAGTGAGGCACTAAAATACTTACTGGAAGTGGGGCTTATTGGTTGATGGATCGCTCAGTTCTATGACTGAACTGGAAGTCAGCCAGCTTTTTAATTGAGGAACTATCAAATACTCCTGTCAGTATAATGCTTTGCTCTAGGGAGGCTTGGTTTCTCCAAAAGCATATCTTCTAATCTCGGTCTCCCACTCAAAGACTGGGACCTGGCTGCCGGGATTTGGAAAGCTGGGCAGGGAAAGGGACTGAGGAATCTCAGCCATGGAATATACAGACTTCCCCTCAGTGCCCTGGTTTCCAGTCATCCCTATCTGCTTATACCTAGTATCCCCCAGTCTAGAGCCTCTCTTAATTCCATTTATTTTGGAGTAAACTCCTGTCTCCCACAGAGGTAAGGGCACAGGGGCTCATTCCTCTGACTCTAAGACTTTTCACCAGCTTTCCCTGTTTCCTGTACTTCCATCATCTCCAGCATCTGCAGAAGCTAGTGATCTAGTTTGAGCCATCTTTGGGCCATCCCAGGCTCCTTGGTGCTCATTTCCACAGTCACTTTTAGGCATCGCCTTCCCCACCCTACTAAGTGCCAAGCACCTCCCATCCTCCTGTTCTCTACATTTATTAGTGTTAGGATCATTGATGGGGCATAGTTCCCTCAAAGGGGGTTTACGTTTGTTTCTTATTCTCTGTGTTTTAGAATGATTTCTGAAGAGAGAGGTGGAGAGAAGAAAGGTCTTTAAGATGCCATCTTAGAACAAGAAGTCAGACGGCTCACTTTCCATCACTTGCTTTTGAAGGCTACTCTTCAGTATTTAATGCCAGTGTGCTTTCTGTTACAATTAGCTGGGGACATTAGTTGCTCCCTTCTATTGTTGTAAGGCCTCTGACAGATCTCAATGAGTCTTAGTCATTTTTGTATAACTCCCTAGGAAGTGACACAGTAAAATCTTATTTAATTGAATTGTGACAGACTCTCTGAACATGTAAACTTGTTTCCATGTAGTAGGTCGACTAATATCTATGGCTCTCTCTTTCTGCTTTACCTGCCAACTATTCTACAGCAAACCGTGGATTCTCAATTGGGATTGGTGATGTCACACCTGGCCAAGGGCTGCTAAAGGCCAAGTACGAGTTGCTGAATGCTGGCTACAAAAAATGTGATGAGTACATCGAAGCCCTAAACACAGGCAAGCTGCAGCAGCAGCCTGGTTGCACTGCAGAAGAGACTCTGGAGGTGAGTCTGGCTGTTTGGGTCATTCTCGTAGGGTTGTGCTGTTAGGCATGAAGAAAAGGCAGCAGAGAGGAGTGGGAGGTAAAGGCAGTTGCTTTAGCCCTTGTCAGCCCTGTGCTGCTTGTGAGTCTTCTCATTTGCTTAATGAGGAGAGGGCTTTCAGTCAGATCCTTTCCATCCCTTCCAGCTTCTGTGCTGTGGGTGGTGAGAGCATGGCCATCTGTTCTTTTAGCCACAGAGGGCTGCTCCTGGCCCAGCGTCACACTTAGGCCCCTTCTTTAAAAAAGTACGTCTTCCCTATTTGCAGCATCCTTTGAATAGGGACTGGCACCATAGCTCTTTGAATGAATGATCTTTGAAAGGTACTTGGATGCAGAGGGAAAATTCATGTCTGAGAGTTACATACCAGTAGACTGCCACCCTTAACATTTGAGGCTAGGTTAGCTCAGAACTTCACCAGCAAGCGTCGTCCTACATTCTCTCCGAAGCAGCCCAGGTCAGCTGTCTGACCACACAGGATTTTGCCTGGCTCTCTTCTGCTCCCACTGGAGCCCATGTCTCAGAGCTTTAACTTAAGTGTGGGAGAAAGGGTAAACAGTAAGAAATTTTCTGATGAAATGAATCTTTGAAGCAGGGAGAAAGCCAAGCTGTGTGAAGTATTCACCATTAGCTCGTTCTTAATTTCACTGAGTCTTAACAAAAGAGACGGATTTGTTGTTTCTCCCTGGTGCCTACCTAGAAAATCACTTGAGGCCTCAGCAGCCATTTTTAGTGGGACCATGACTCCTAACTGATGTGAGCATCCTAAGTTGTCTGTTGGGGAATGAAAACTTGTAGATGAGCTCATGAACTAGAATGTTCTGTAGAGTCACCTCATCACATACATTACTTGGGGAAATTCAAATGTGTGCTTCGCAAGATAATGTATAAAAGACAGATTTTATAAATAGTACAGGCAATTCTCTTTCACTACATACTATAAGTCATATATTTCATATATTTATTTAGGCATATGTGTGTGTATACCCAATAATACTTATACAGGTGTATTGTTATACACAGAGTGCTGTACATTCTAGTTTATGGGCTGTTTAAAGGATTTTTATTACTAACCATTTCAACCTTAACACACTGATTTTAGAACCTTGTGGAATATGTGGGTCTTTACAGATAGGGCATCATGGTCCTCTAAGGCTCTAAAACGTTTATCTATTGGAAATCTGATATCTTATGTTTTTTTCAAATTTCATAAAATGTCAGCCTGAGCATTTGCAGTCAGCAGAGCCAGTGAGGAAGACTCCACCACACGTGTCCCTTTCTTCCACTAGGCTTTGATCCTCAAGGAGCTGTCTGTGATCCGCGATCACGCTGGCACTGCCTGCCTCCGAGAGCTGGATAAGAGCAACAGCCCCCTCACCATGGCTCTGTGTGGCTCTAAAGGTGAGTGTCCTGCTCTCCGGCCACCTCTGTCACTCTGGTCTCCCTGTGGGCTGGCTGGTTTTGTTCCAGAGACTAAGAGAGTCATGACTTCAGACCTTTCGTTTACAAGGGCATATCTTTAGTGATGTGGCCAAACACTCTAATTTCAAAGTTACCGAAGACCTAAGAGCATTAGGTTTCATGATACTGCACTCACATTTCATACTTCCATGCTTCTCCTCTTTCTATAAATGATTTTAACAGAGTAAAGTCTAATCTCTAACTTTGCCGACTTCCACCCCAGTATTCTGTTTCCTGCTCCTGGTACATACCTTTTTCATTCCTGTCTTTGCTTCCCACTGCTCTACTCACTTGGAATACCTCCCTCCACCCTTTTTATGTCCAAATCTTAATGTCCTCTGAAAGTCCAGCCTATTTGCTGCTGTCTTGCAGACTCACCTGGAAGTCTTTCCTCTGACTCTGAAGTGCTCATGTGCTCCTGAGCCCCTCTGAACCTCACTCTGCCTTTCTTGGGTTACTGACAGCTCTGCCCCATGATATTTCCAACTCTATCCTTTACCGGAGTCTCTGTGCCTTTACCACGGCATAATGGGCTCTGCTAGTTTTGTTCCTCTTTTATCCCACAGATCTGCTTGCACTTGAATTAAGGTTATTTAGGCAAATGAATGTTACATTCTTGACCTGTTTCCCTAGGTTCCTTCATTAACATATCACAGATGATTGCCTGTGTGGGACAGCAAGCCATCAGTGGCTCTCGAGTGCCAGATGGCTTTGAAAACAGGTCCTTGCCTCACTTTGAAAAACACTCAAAGGTAAGCAGTAGTGGCTCAGGCGAATATCTAAAGGATGACCAGCAGCAGTGCAGAAGAGAGTAATTGAAGCTCTGTGGCTGCCAACTAAGCAACTCCTGGAGGTGGCATAAAAGTGGGGCTGCTGCTCAGGGGTATTCCCTCTTCCACCCAGACTGAGTCATGTAGAAGGAGCCTTGTTAAACTCGCAGCCATAAAACTTGAACCAATGCCCTCTTGTATATTTTGTCTCCAAGGGGGAGGATTTCAGGTTCCCATCCAGTTTACCCTAAGTGATCAAAATGTATAGTTCACTCATATATGAGTTCAATCTGTATGCTTGTTTTGGGGGCATTTACATAAAATTATAAGGATTTTTAAATAGTGATAGTACGAAACACACTAAAATGACCAGAAAATTACAGATTCTCTCTGGAATTCTCAAAGTCAGTTTTTAAATGACTTCTGGGTTCCATTGACCTTTGTGGACTGGGCACTAGTGTAAGCTGGGAAGGAGAAAAAGAAAGTCTATGCTGGGATTTTTCTGGGATTCAGAGGTAGACAACTGTTTTATCTATAGTTGAGGAACTTAGAGTAGATTTGATACTCAGTAAATTCTGGATTTAGAGTCAGTTGTTACTCCCATTAAAGCATAGATATATGCCCCAGCTGCTCCTGCCCTGTGGAGCTACAGGGTTTCTGTCCAGCCCCTCCTGGGGAGATAGGACTACTGTACTGAGAGTAGATATTCTCTGTAACAGATAGCCCCAGGAACAATTCAGGTTTTCTGCCTGAGCTCAGAATTCACTAGAGGCCCAGCAGCCAGGTAGTCACTGGAGTGGTGCCTCCCTGTGTACCAACTCTCAGCTCAGAGTTCTGAGTAGCCTGACTAAGGAAAGGCCAGGGTAGTCCAGACTTCTCAGTCCCTGAACCAGTGCTCAACTGCAGGAGAGCTGTGCTTGCCTAGAAATGCCTATGTGTACACCAGCTGCTGCTTAAACAAGGGTTTAACAAGGGAAGCAAGAGGTTGGCCTTTCCATCTAGACTGTCCTCGAAGGAACACAGACCTATCCAGATAAAGACCATTTGGCTGTTTCACATGGTGTTTATATATTTGTGTTTTTCTTAAAAGTTTTATTGAGACACATTCATAATATCCATCATAATATCCATCCATTTAAAGTGTAGAGTTGAGTGACTCAGTTATGTGACCATCACCACTCTAATTTTAGAACATTTTCAATGCCCTAAAATGAAACCCAAGAACATTAGCAACAAATGGTTATGAATGTTTATAAGTTTATAAGGTCTATAACTGGGCAGGCCTGACCCACAGGAAGAATGTCCTGAAGGAGTCATTTCCCATGGAATGGGCAAGCTGTTGCCATCAGCAGGGTGCCCTCTGAGGTCCTTAACTTCTTGCCTGTACTAAGGATAATAGGCCAAGCTTCAGTTTCCCTCACCTGCACCTCTTGCTTGCCACTAACACCAACTACAGCCCTGGCTCAGACTTCCCCCTCCTTGTCTCTAGTAAAGATGGTTTGTGCCAAATTATTTCTCCTTTAAGAATGAACATAGAACAGTGACTGTGAAGGGGTATGTGGGGGGGACTTGGTGAAGGGGGGAGCCTAGTAAACATAATGTCCTTCATGTAATTGTAGATTAATGATACCAAAATTAAAAAAAATAAAAGAATGGGCATAGAAAGCCTGCCACTTCATGAGAGTGCATTGGCCAGGTATTTACAGTCTAAAGGTGGGGCATTTTCTGATTTGAATGGGTTTTGGAATTGTGGACCTTGAAGTTTTCTTGTTTGATTTTTCGTTTTCCATACCTCTCTTTAGCTCCCAGCTGCCAAAGGCTTTGTGGCTAATAGCTTTTATTCCGGTTTGACACCAACCGAGTTTTTCTTCCACACAATGGCTGGCCGGGAAGGTCTAGTCGACACAGCTGTAAAGACAGCTGAAACAGGATATATGCAGGTAACTTGAAGAAATGTAGGCCATAAGCAGTGGAGCAAGACAGGGCACTGCAGAGTTTGGCTGCTAAATGTTTGCATATTTTATACATGAACTATAATGTATTTGGTCTTGGTATTTAAAAGGAAAAAATGAGAAATGCAGGTGCCCTAGAAATAAACAACTTAAAAAGGTATATGTTCCAAACTGTCCTGTGTACCTCAATCAAGACAACAAGTCAGAACCACATGTACCAAAGCTCATGGTATTATAGGAGAACATGGACTGGCAGTGCTTTCTGGGACACATCATTGAACATTGCTGAGCCTCTGTTTCCTCATACCTGAAGATGGAATGACAGTGCCTACCTCCTGATTATTTAGAGGACTCCACTTCTCACTTTGCAGCTATTCATGTAACTCATAACCAGTATCATCCTAATTAACTCCAAGAACCTATTCTAGTGCCCACAGGGGCGTTTGGACACTGGGAGGGATTGCTCTTTCTCCATTGTATGTACAGTTCTGGGATAATAGGCTCAAGAGGACAGGGCTGAACTAGAAGGTGTCCCTTGCTCTGCTTCCCAGACTGCCACCAAAGTACCACTAATGGCAGAGGAGTGAAAAACCACCCCTACTTTGTTCTTTCATAAGACCACAAGGGAAGGACTTCTTTTCAGTCTCTAATTTTCATCTCTACTCTATATTCCATAATCTATGTTTTTTGAAATTTTTTCCATGTTTTTATGTACTTATAAAGTTAACACTTTATTTTTTGGCCCTGAACTTGCTATGGCTTTTTGTATGGCCCTTTGTACGCTGGGAGCCAGGACTGACCAATCAAAGATGTGAGTGATTGGGCCAGAACAGACAGGGTTGATGAGGGTAAGAATGAACTTGAGTCAGTAGATACCTATTTCCGTAACCTCTTCTATACCTCCAGTGTCATCACTGATACCTCCCTTTCAATCATCCTTTGACGGGAAATTGCCTTTTAGTTTTGGAGTGTGCTGCTTTCATCAAAAACCCAACAGACTGAAATGCTTGTACCACTCCTGCTAGAATGTCTTCTTTCTTCCCCCTCTACCTTTTGAAGTAGAGAGTATATGACTTTCCCAGAGCAGTGTGTTAACCTAGAACAAATGAGTTCTGGCATGAGGGAATTTTGTTTTGAAATTGCCCAGAGGAAGCTTGCTTTCTCTGTAGTTATTGAGCCACCACTACATTGCTGACTGTAGTGTTCTGCGATAGAAGGTTCTCCATAAACTAATGTGAGAAACAGCTGCTGCCTGCTGGTTCACACACAGTGCCGTTCCTGTTCTCTTGTTTTCCCTTGTGTCCCAGAAGAGGGCCTGCACGTGATCCTCTGTAATTCATATTGAAGTCCACAGGAGTCCTGGATTAAGTTATGCTTAGAAATACAAAGCTATTGCATTAATTTATACCTTTGGGAGAGGGAGCAGGAAGACAAAGCAGCCCCGGAAAACAGTTAGTGATCGCAGAGTCCTTTGGGGGCAATGGGTTTAAATTGCATATATTCTAAAACACACTGAAGTACTAGAGGTTGGAGCATATTCTAAATCCCACTGCACAGGCTAGAGAGGCACTCTTGGGCTTGTTCTTGGGGTTGGGGACTCTTTAAGGGACTGCCAATACAATGTTTTTATATGATTTAAGTGCTAGTGACCTTGAAACTTAAGAGTTGCAGATCTCATCTGTGCACATGTGACTAGCCTTCTCAAAATAGCTGAGCTTTTGTTTCCTCTCCTTTTCTTTTAGAGAAGGCTTGTGAAGTCCCTTGAAGATCTTTGTTCACAATATGACTTGACAGTCCGAAGCTCTACAGGTGATATTATCCAGTTCATTTATGGGGGAGATGGCTTGGATCCTGCAGCTATGGAGGGAAAAGATGAACCTTTGGAGTTTAAAAGGGTTCTGGACAACATCAAAGTAAGATTTAGCATTATATCTGAGGTTAGAGTATTTTCGAGGCTTTTCTTTAGAATGTAGGTACCCTTTGGCATATCACACACAGTTAATGTTTCAGTTACCTCTACGCAACCACTGGGTTAGTATTTTTCTTTTTGTGTCACTGCACATTATTTTCCCAAGTATTGAAGGGAAAACACTCTTCAATTTCAGTCTAGTATTCGTTCAGGCAAATGCCAATAGAAGAGGGCTTTGGTGTCTCTCTGTCTAGTAAAGTGTA